CCGGAATTTCGGCCCTACTATTGGCAGTCAATTTATGCCGTCTTGCCCTAATTAAACCTAGGTCGAGGGAATGACGGGGAACATCTTTTGGCCGTCCAGCCGCCATTAAGGCCATTTCGTCCTCAGATTTTGTGCCATCAGAACTTTCACCAGAGGAAGATGAAGTGCTAGGAGGGTCCTCCGCCTCAGCCCTGGTATTTGTCGCCGTTTCAGTAGAACCACCGGCGAATGGGACTGTGATGACATCCACAATAGCAGTGTCACGGTCATCTCCATGGGAGGCCATCTCCGAATCAGAAGAATGCTGTTGAGAACTCATCTCGATCGAGCCAGAAATGAGGATAAGGAATAGAGGGAGGAAAGGTACCTGAGCGACGGAAGCTGGGAGAAAATTCAGAGGAAGCAACGATGCGAGGGAGATTACGGAATCGAAACCCGGATTTGAAAGGTTAAGGGCTAATTTATAGGCTTGAAACCGTCGTATCAAGAACCAATCAGGGAGCAACACGTCACTAGGAGCTTTTAAGCTAAACACGTGTCCAATGAAAAGACTAAACGACGGTTACCATGATGAATATGGGGAAATGAAATGACAACCGTCAAATCACAGCATGGGGAACTGATTACTTCTGTACCCCGATCGCCATTCGGCGGATTGCAACATTGGTATTCATACTTCCTAATGCACTCACTGTTGTTCGAGACATCGGAAGTGGGGGACTTGTGTTGGGATATTGACCTAGAGGCCCAATACCCGGATCAAGAAGGCCCAAGATATCCGGCCCAAGCAACGGGCCCATCACTCTATGATGAATAGATCCAGTAAAGAATTCATGCCGAACGAGATTCGGCCCAATTAAAGGTTGGCCCAGTAAGAAGACATACCGAACGCAGTTCGGGCTATATATCATACTTGGGCCAATTTGACAGCGTCTTCAGCATAGTCCAACATCCCGTTCGGGCAACAGGCAACCGGCAAGTGGCCAGGTGCAATTAATGCCAGATTATGACAACAGCAAGTGGAAACATGGGTGACCAAGTCGGTGGAGCAACAGCCAATCAGCACAGGGCAGCCCATGCCCTCCATTAGTATAAATAGAAGGTTTAAAATCATTGTAAGGGTTAGCATTTCAATACTCAGGCTCTAGAATAGCATCATTGCTCTTATTTCTTGTATTAAAGCATTGTTTCCGACTTACCGGTCGGGAAATCCCTTGTAATCAGACTGGTTAGTTAATACAAGTGAACTTTCGAGTATTAGTGAGTTCATATCTTATATTTTTTATACACTTTGATTCACCTTGATTCTGTGACGTGTGGTTCCCAAACAAACCATGTGACAGCACATGGAGCAATGCAAGATTCACACCATCATTTTGGTCATTGTCAGGGTCTCCACTATTGTAATTCATTAAAACATTTTGACAATCACTTCTTCTCACCCCGGATGTGTTTCCAAAATACTTTCTCCACAATGCTCCCCTAAAATTCTCTTCTACATGTGATTTAACTCCTCCAAATTTAAGACCCAGAGCCATGCACATATCATTTTTTCTGAAAGTAATTAGGTTGTTTTCAATATGAAAATGAATGGCATTTACCTCTTTCCTCCCATTCACCTTTTTTACGTAGTTGCACAAAAATCCAAGTTGAAGTTGCCCACTAATTGTGCGCATCTCTTCCACATCCAATACCCAACCAAATACACTCCTCCTGAATTCAACCAATTCTTCAGCTTTAAGTTTTTTTTATCCTCTTCACTAGCTCACTCAAACTGCAATAGCAATTAATCCTCATGTTTTCTACATTTTGCAGTTGTTTCTTTCCAAATTTTCTCTGTATCACCTAAATAAAAACAAAACCATTCATTTCACACATTTCTTTTACAGTAGTGTAATTATTAATACAAATATCATGTGCAAATGTCCAAGATACATGCCAGATATTCATTGTCATTGTTGTGAAGCTTTCAAATTTGATAAAACTCACATTCACTTTCTGCCACTTATATTTCAATAGCTTAGCACTAAATTGTCATTTCTTCCAATAAGCTACTACCTGACATTTATTCCATTCTAAATATTTGGCTTCCATGTTTTTCTCCATACTACCATTTCTTCCATGTTTTCATTGTACAACTTTCATTTTAAGCCACTACTTTTGTCATTTCTTCCAAAAACAAACTACGTGACATTTATTCCATTCTAAATATCTGACTTCCAACTTTTTCTCCATACTACCATTTCTTCCATGTTTCATTGTACAACTTTCATTTTAAGGCATATCTGCTATCAACGTTTTAAACCTATTCAGATTCTGCCATATTCCTCTAGTTCATTTGCCTAAATTTTGGCAAAATCAACTACAACCACCTCTGACACTGCTTTTAAAAGTCTATACATCCTATCAATTTTTCAAAGTGCATTCATCAACGAATTGTCACATATTTGAAAAACATAGTTTCTGGCATTTATGCCATTTAAAATTCCGATCTTTTACCCTACTGCCAATTTTTACATGTTGTTTTGATAAGTTTCATTTTCAATTATTTATTCCATCCAATTTTTGACACCCTTTTAACATTCTGCCAGTTTCCTCTCTTTCATGTACAATATTGTAACCACTTATATGTACAATATACCATTCTATTGCATGCATTTTATCGGCACAACAAATTTCACAATTTGTATTGAACACTAGGAACAAAATCTTCCAGATTTTCGTTCCAAAGTCATGTACATATGTCATCCTTTTCCATTATTTACTAACACATACAATTGCAACACAATATCGTCCGTAAACACATAAATTGATGTTCATAAGTACAACATACCAGATCTGCTTTCTCCCGCTCTGTCTGTTGTCCTCGCGTCTGTTTCGGAACCTCGTCATCGGCCATCATCGCGGTTCAACTGCTTCCCTTGTTTTCGTCTTCCACCTTTTTACGCTTCAGTTCTCGGAATCCATGTTGCACTTTCCGGATGGCAGAACGGGGTTGAGTAAATAGGGTGGTTGCCTTTGAAACTAGATTCCCGAGCCTTGCGCCGGAAAAACACTCCATAATAATTGCCGCGCCTCGTTTCCCTATGTTTTCGCCCTCTCTCCTCGCAGGATTCTGGCCTGTTTTTTCGAAAACTTCCATCGGCTGAATGTTCAATTAATTTAATCTCGAGGCTAAGATTGGAAGATCATCAGCTTTTTAATCCTATGAAACTTGACTCACGGAAGAAGTCCTATTTGTGCACACAAAAGTGCATTTAGACCTACTTAGGTAAAAAACTCGAAGTTTTACCATTGCTTCTTCAAAGGAATGACTAGTCATGATTTTTATTATTTTTGGATGGGTGGTTTTTGACCTTAATTGGTATTTGCATGATTTCTATCTTCAGCGGGAAGAGAGCTTCTTATTTTGTTGTTCATAGTTACTACGTATTATTTTTCTGCTTTTCGTTAGCGTCTTGTTTCAATCGCTTTATATATGTTATTTTTGTATATTTATACCTTCATTTGAGTTGGGGATGGAAGAGGGCTTTTATAGCCAGAGTTTTGTGGAAGGCAGTCTGAAGGGCGGCCGCCCTCCGGCCATGGTCGGCAGCCTTCGGTCACTTCCCCGACAAACATGGGCGGATCTATGTAGGGCCTAGGATGGGCTCTAGCCCAGCCCAACCCAATTTTTGTTGTTAGTATAGAAAGAGATTTAATTTTCAGCTCACCCAAAAATTAAAACTCAGCCCACCCCAAGTCTACAAGGAAGTGTTCTAAGAAGCTCTAAAAGCAAAAGGCTGCCCAAACTTTGTTTAAAGCCCATAGTCATGGGAACAAATGATCCCGAGAACAAATGATCCCAATGCGTAATAATAGAGCTTGGTGTACGTGATTGCACCAAGAAGTGATTTATATATAGGACACTCAGGAGGGTGAACCATCCTTGTAGTCGGTGTGGGATAAATTGAGGAGCAAAACATTACATACGGAGTATTAAACAATCGTATGTAGTTGGTGTTTGGAGCCAGCTGCAAATTATGCAATCCCATCTCACCCACTCACCCACGTCATCAATGAAAGCACTTTATATTACAAGTTTACAATATTAGTTTACAACATAAATTTTATGATTAATATTATATTATTATTATAATATTATTATTATTATATGATTATTACTATTATTTGACCCAAGTCACCATGAGTAACTTTTATAAGCATTAAAATTTAAACATAATTATAATCATTAAAATAACTAAGTTACTCTTTATCAACTGTCCTTATTTGGTCATATACTATTTCTATTATTATTATTATTATTAAAATTATTATTATTATTAATAAAATTATAATAGTTTTATTAGTGCATTAGTTTTATTTAATAGTTATGTAATTCTATTTGATTATTAATTTAATTTATGCTCAAACTCGGCTTGAATAAAATAGATATATGAACTCTATTCTTTTAGTGTTCAAATATATTTAAAAAATTGCAATGAAAATGTTTAAATTTTAAGATAAATAAAATTTATTTCTATAATTTACGAGTTATTGATAGACTCGAGTCCGGATCAAACCGAATACCACTATGCTCGAACTCAGCTTGAACAACTATTCGAACTCAAAATCTAGCTCGTGTTCGAGTTAAAAAAAAGCTTCTTAAACTCAGATCACTAAATTAAATTCGAAATCACACTCGAATTCGTGTAGTTCGAAAAAAACTCAATTCGATTACGGCGCTAAGCAACCTAAGCTAAAACTTTTGTTTGCAATAACAATTTTTTTCCTGCTAAGCTCATCCCACTCTTCATTCCTGGATCCGCCCATGTGGTGATGTATGGTCACAACCCTACCTTAATTCAAAATAGCCATTTTAGCTGAATTATTTGATGGAAAAGAGTGAAACTCGGTTATCAAATGATTTTCCAACGTCCTAGTTTCCAATGGTTGCATGTAAATCATTATTACCCATCAAAAAGATAACAAATTAGTTTCCTACTTGTATGAATCCATGCAAATAACATTTCTCTGAATCATATACTAAAACACAACAAACAAAACATCCAAGAGTTTCTCCTCCATTTCCATCTAGCTAGCATCAATTCCGATGGCGACTTCTCATCATCACCATCTCACTTTTCTAATGTTAGCATTATTCCTCACCCTAATTTCCCACACACAATCAAACCTTAGTCCTCAATATTACAACAAGACATGCCCACAATTCACAAACATCGTCCAAAGAATCATCGTCGACAAGCAACTCTCCAACCCTACAACCGCCGCCGGCGTCCTCCGCCTCTTCTTCCACGATTGCATGGTCGGTGGCTGTGACGCCTCCCTCCTCATCGCCTCCAACTCTTTCAACACTGCCGAGCGTGACTCCGATATCAACCGCAACCTCCCGGGGGACGCCTTCGATGTGGTGGTGCGTCTGAAAACCGCACTCGAGCTAGAATGTCCGAACACAGTCTCGTGTTCGGACATTATGGCGACTGCAACACGTGACCTAATCACAATGGTGGGAGGACCCTACTACGACGTCCAGCTAGGCCGCAAAGACAGCCTTGTCTCACGCGCCTCAGATGTCAAAGGTCATATCGCACTGCCCAACATGACCATTGACCAAATAATCTCAACCTTCGCTTCCAAAAACCTCGACGTGGAGGATCTCGTTACGCTGTCCGGGGCCCACACCATAGGATTCTCACATTGTTCGGAATTTGCCAACAGAATCTACAATTTCAGCAAAACGGCGTCGGTGGACCCCACACTACATCCGAAGTACGCGGAAGCGTTACAAAAATTGTGTGCAAATTACACCGTGGAATCGGGAATGTCGGCATTTAACGACGTTATGACACCGGGAAAATTCGACAACACGTATTACACGAACCTGAAAAACGGTATGGGTTTGTTAGCTTCGGACCAAGCTTTGGTGTCCGACCCGAGAACCAAGCCGTACGTGGATCTTTACGCGCAGAACCAGACCGCATTCTTCGACGCTTTCGCGCGCGTGATGGAAAAGGTTAGTGTTTACGAGGTTAAAACGGGAAATGATGGAGAAGTGAGGAAGAGGTGTGACGCTTTCAATAGTTTGAAAGGGAATAATAATAAGAATGACGAAAAGAAGCATACTGTCAGCTAAGGTGCGAACACCCATACATGCATGGTGTACAATGCGGAATTGTGGATGATTATAAAGATCCTAAACATACTTACATGTGGTGTTGATTTATTTAGGGAATATGTTATGGTTTATATATTTGGATGTTTAGCTCTATATATTACCTATATGGTGAGGAGAACTCTATGAATCTTTAATGTTAACATTTTATTTGTCTACTCCTTTTAATCCTTTTAAATTTATGTTTGATTTTTAAGAAATGTGGAGGGTAAAGAGATGAATAGTAAGGCCAATTATCAACAATTCTTGGTGTACACCTTCTTATACACATCACTACATTCATGTTTGTGAGAGTTTTTTTCTGTCTGTGAATCTCAGTCCAGAGCCAAAAATTGGTTTGTTTTGTCTGTGCAAAATTCTACTGACAAAACAAATCAGTTTTTGTCGGTGGACTGAGATTCACAGACAAAAAAAAACTCTCACAGACACAGGAGTGTACTGATGTGTATAAGAAAGTGTACAAAAGGAATTTTTGTAAAACAAGAGAGCAAAGAATAGCAAGACTACAGTTTTGGTTCGATTCTAGGGAGAATAATAACGACTATTAATGCATTGCTTTGAACTCTTGGGATTGAGATCTACGCCATAGGGAAGAGTACCTTACTTAAGTGGATGACACATTAAATATCAGACATCGAGATTCGTGTAAAAAAATGAAACTCTTAGGCCCTGTTTACTAACAGGAATATTTTCTGTTTTTCCAAAAACCTGAAAAGCCGGAAATAGAATAATTAAAAAACCCGTTTACCTCATTTTTTTCCAAAACAAAAAATTGAAACATATCTCGGTTTTTTCTTCATAAACGGAGAAGCCACTTATACGCGGTTTTCCTAAATCAGAAAATGCGGTGCTACAGTGCCTGAGTCTTTGCCTACCCTCCTCGTCTACCGTTTCTACTTCGCCAACTCCCTGCTACTAAAGTGGTAGTTCGCCTACCAACTTTACTTCGTCGTCATCTCCTTCGCATCGCCAAGGAGCTCTTAAATATCACTGCCGTTCAACACTCCTCAAACAACGGTTCGCTGCCATTGCTGCTCCCAGACTCCTCAAAATTGGTTTGCTGTCATCGCTGCTAGGAGTTCAAGATAATCTCTCAATTTCAGAAATTAATTTGTGTTGGAGAAATTGCATAAAGCCTTTGTTTCAAAAGCTTCGAGCAACGATAAAGCCCTTGCATAAAGCCCTTGTTTCAGAAATTTCATAAGCTTTAAAAAGGCTTCAGTGAGCCCTCCACCAATGCTTTAAAGAAATTTCGAAAATAATAATTAAAACCTAAGGGTAATTTGTTCAAACAATTGCTTCAGTAAATATCCCAGCGTTTTATAATAGGCATGCCTTGTGTTCCGGAATGCTCCTTACTCAATTTGATTTGGGTAAACTTAGAATATTAGTAAGCAAAACAAATGGTGAAAATACCAACACTTAAGTTTTGTTAATTGTGTCTGATTCAACCTATATGGTAGTTGCATCCAAATGTTGTTCTGGAGTAATTAATTCAGGTCAGGGCTAAGTGGATCAGTTTGACAATTTTTAAAAGTGTTAAAGTATTCTTGTTCAATGTTTATAACTAAAATAAGTAGAGATTTTGATAGAAAAGGTTTTAAGTGAGAGTTCAATTTTTTTATGCGTAGTAAATAATAATCTTTAGTCTCAAATATATGTCAAGATATACACCACACTTCAGAACGTTTCATAAAAAATCCTCCATCTCAATGGGCTCTCAACTCGTCAGTTTAGCAATAAACATTGTTAGCATATACTTGTCTTTCATTGTTTAGCAAAACTCAGTTCTCCTTGGTACATCAGTTGTAATAATAAGATCACTTCATATTTTGGTTTCATTTTAGCTTCTTGACTTCCTCCGCTAAGATCAGAGAAAACATTTACGGCAAGACTTAGATGAAGAGCAAAATACATTACGCACTGTTTTGGAAGAAAAAAAAAATTGGTCCATAGTAGATTGGATTTGTTAGCAATTAATAGAAACCCGCTTCAGTTAGCAGTCTACCATAGGCAGTTTTTTAAATAACAAGGCAAGCCCCTGTTTTGTTAACAAGATTTACTTTTGGGATTATTGTACTCAACTTTTTCGTCATTTAGTTCATTTTCAACCAACAATAGTGAGATCCGAGGGCAAAAAGTGAAATGAAAAATTGAAAAACTCTGGTAAACATGTTTTCTGATTTGGAAAACAAAAAACTGGAAAACGAAAACAGAAAACTGGAGACTTGAAAACAGAAAATGAAAATAGAAAATTGTCTCTGTTAGTAAACAGGCCCTTAATCTTTTATGGAGTATTATTCATTTGTTGATCATAGGGCTAAAATTAAATAGCCGGACATCCTCCTTGTCTGTTTAACCAAGATAGAGGCACCGAATCAGAACTGATGTTGAAGTGGTAGAGGGTTCATTTATTATTATGCTATACTAATTACTAAGTATGTAAGAATTTCTCATGAGATGTGAATTATCGCGACTAAATTACTACGAAATACTAATACATTGATCCAACTTTAACTACGTACTCCTTCCGTCCCAAAAAGATTGATACATTTTGACTTTTCTTGATCAATGATGGTTAAGTTTGACCATTGATATCTTTTAATACAAAATTATTTAAAATATGAAAATTATATGAAAATATTCTTTATTAAAAAATCTTACATAAAAGTATAAAACTTATAAATTACAAACAAATATAATACCTAAAATCATTGTCTAAACTTTATCACTATTGACCAAGAAAAGTCAAAATGTATTAATCTTTTTGGTGTAGTAGTAAAAATGACGTGTATTAAATTTTCTAAACTTATTACTCCCTCCGCCCCGTTAGAATGTTCCCGGTTTGACCTACACACATATTAAGGAAATAAACTTATCAGGGGGTAAATTTTACTGTTTTGACATTGTTTCGACACTGTTTGGCACTGTTTCGACACTGTTTGACACTGTTTTGCACTGTTTGACTCTGTTTTGATGTAGGATAACTTTCCATTTAGGGAAATAGGAACTTTCCAACGAGACAACCAAAAAATGAAAGCGGGAACATTCCAACAGGAAGGAGGGAGTATATTTTAAAAATGTAGACCGACTCCTATTTTAGTGTAGTAGGTAACTACCATGAATGAGGCTGGAAATAGATTGACCTGATTTAACTGAGTTTTGATTTAAATTGTGGTCCAATTTACAAAAAGATAATCTCAAATGTTGTTCATTTGAAATATTGAAGTATAAACCCGTCAAAGAAGTAGCACCCGTAAATGGAGTTTGAAATTCCAAAATATTAGTACTGTGTTTTTATTTCCAAAATAGTTGCATTACAGTGCATTTAAGATGACAGTAAGCCAGTAACAACTCCTATTTCGGGAAGAAAAACATAGTAGTCTTATTTTAGAATTCCAAACTTTATTTATTCCTATTTAGGAAAATTTCTCTTAAACAAACAGTTGTGAATTTGTGATGATGTGAACAACAATGCTAATTTCATTAGCCTCGTTTAATTTCTTGCTTGAGACCCCACAACACAGGCATCAACGATGGTTAATAGTCGTCTTGGGGTTCTAGCTATTATTCTTTAGATAGGAGGACTAGTCCAAAGCTTTACATACTACTATTAGTTTGTAGTTCTGTATAAGCCTCTACAAGATGATGACTTCAACAAATTTAATCTCGTAATTTGTGTGCTTGTTATTGAGGATTATCGTAATCTTAGTACTTGTTGGAACTTGATAATTTGATACTAGAGGGGTGGTGCAATTATAAAAAAAGTGAGTTTATATGATTAATATTGTATTGATAAAGAATAAAGTGAAAATGATTTAGAACCACGTATAAGTTACGGAATTCGAAACAATATTAATGTAACAGATTAAATGAGATGATGTATAATATAAAATCTTTCATCATTCTACAGGAAAAGTAGCTAAAGCTTTTATATGTAATTGTACCGGTTGGACAACATGTTTGCTTGTTTTTTGTCCTTCACGGTGTAGAAATTTACAACAATTACACCTCCAATTTTGGTATCTTCTTAGGCTATTGATATAGTAATTTCTCATTTTGAATCTTGCTCAAGCATTTCTGTTCTTGAAACAATTGAATAGTATTAGTACTTTAATCTATAGTCCCGCGCGCTCATCACTGTTTTAATTTGTGTGTGATAAAGCCCGTGGGCGAGCAAGATGGTTATTTTGAAACAGAGACATTTATTAACAGTCTATTTTGATGAGTAGAACCAATAGTGGATTTGATATCTCTTGGGCTCATTCAGATGATGGTTTCACTGTAGTTATTTCCAAAAAAATCTAAATAACAGACCGAAGCAATAGCGAGTAATATCCAAACGCGTCTTCAAATTAAGCTTGTTGGATAAAAAACTTTCATACTCGGTGGTATTTTAAATTTCTTTAAATTGTTGAGTTCTTTAATTATTATTCTTTCATTGCATTTTCATTCTTGTACTCTCTTTTCGATGTAATAAATTGGGTATATGATTCTCAACATTTATCCCACAATTATGTGGTTCGGCTTCTGGGATTTAAAAGAAAAATTCTTGGGCTAATTCGTGGTGTTAGGGAGCACTCCTTTGGTGTCTGGATTCTAGCCTGCTCGACATGCACTTTTTATGATTGTGGGTTATAGTTTGCTGATGGCATTTCTTTTCTATAAAAGGTGCATCCGCTCACCAGGCCAATAAAGGAAGAAGAAATTATCCTATTCTTATGCCAAAACCACTCTTAGAATTCTATCACTTCTTATTCAATAAAATAAATTGCTATGGGGAGCAGTACGTGCAAGTCTTTATAGTATGGTTTGTGTTGTATTATAGTTGATAATGTGGATTGATCTACAATTCATGTACCTTTCTTAGTCGTTTACGTTTAACTACTTGAATCGTATGTCATAATTCGAGTTTCATCCTTAAAAGGTTGACTTAATTAATTTAGAAAATTTCTCAAACTAAGACTCAAAAACAACATTCTTCCAAAAATAGGATCATATGTGTGGTTTTTCCCAAACAGGACTTAGCATTTACCTTTATGCTCCTACCTTAATTAATTAATTAATTAATTAATTGATATAATTAATTACCCCCTAGTTTCCTTGCATGAGCAAAGTC